TAAGAAAACGTCAACCAGAGGCAGAACCAGACGGGTGGGTCACCGGGGCGGACCCTAACGGGTGTGTCGGGCGGGCGGGCCCAGATGGCGGGGTCCAGTGGCCAGGTCGTTGAAGCGTCAGTCTCGCAGGAATCGCGAGGAAGATTTCAGCGATACAGCGTGTCCGAATTCATTCGTGATGAAGCTCACAGCGGGGGCGTGATCCCTGAGGGTTGGGAGCGCGGCGTTTCAATAGACAGCGTGGAAGTACGACGCGAGAGGGCGACTCTTAGACAGCGTGGAAGTTGTACCGCGCGAGAGCGCGATTTGGAATAATTCGTGAGGAAGTATTTGGCGGGAGCCGAGGTGGTTGAATTCTCATGTTCTAAAATACTTCTGTTGGCCGCCCATTTGGTACAACGTCTCCCGCTTGATATTTCCTTACAGTGTGTTTCCAAATGGCGCTTTCGTTTGGGAGATCTTCACAGCTAGAACAGGAATCGCGTTATCGTGTCGGACTTCTCGCAATTCATTCAGACGCCGCACCCTCGACACTCAGGAATCTCGCGCTCGCGGTGGATTTCCTTACGATTTCTTTGGGAATCGCGCTATCGCTCGGGACGTCCTTGTGATTCATGCAGGACGCACGCTTCGGCAACCCGCCTGCCCTTTGTCCCTTCCTTCCATCCGTTCTCTCTTCCCCTGCCTTGGGGGGTGCACGAAATGCACGGTACAGGAAAAACATGTATGCCCATAATGGGGGTACGGTCGAAGACAAAGAGGGCGGGTATCGAGTGTTCGGGATATACATGTTTTGTGACACTCGAGCAGATAAACGCGAATTGTCTTAACATGTTTGTTGTAGTTGATGGTGATGTGGTTGAATTCTCAAATTCAAAGAGTTAGTATTGCAGATCCTTATCCGGTAACCAGCGTATTTGTTCAATGAAAGTGTTTCCTCCGCGGCTCCATCTTGCTTTTTCCACGCGGGAAAGTGAGATATCACGAAATTGTGCCCTTGGCCCCAGGTTTACAACAGCAGCGGTTCCCGCCGGATACTCCTTTAACCTTTTCTTCCCAAGTCGCGCTCTCGCGCCGGTTTTCCTCACAATTTATACAGGAATCGCGCTCTCGCGTGGGACTTCCTCGCAATGCATTCAGACGCCGCGCCCTCGACACTCAGGAATCTCGCGCTCGCGCTGGATTTCCTCACGATTTATCCGTTCTCTCTTCCCTTGCCTTGGGGGGTGCACGAAATACACGTTGCATGACAGGTAAGAAACATGTACCCATGATGGGGGTACGATCGAAAACGAAGAGGGCGGGTATCGAAGGTTCGGGATCTTTGTGCTTAGTGACGCGCGAGCAGATACACGCGAATTGTCTTGAAATGATTGGTGTTGTTGTCGTTATTTTTGTTGGTGGTGTTAGTGTTGTCGCTGGAATCTCATACCCAACGAGTAGTATTGTTGATCCCTATCGGGCAACAAATATGTTTTTCAATTAAAGTGCTTCCCCCGGGGCTCGCACCCTGATTCTTTTCCAAGGAGATCCTTATCCGGTAACCAGCGTATTTGTTCAATGAAAGTGTTTCCTCCGCGGCTCCATCTTGCTTTTTCCACGAGGGAAAGTGAGGTATCACGAAATTGTGCCCTTGGCCCCCCGGTTTACAGCAACAGCGGTTCCCGCCTGGTATTTCCTCACAATGTCTTCCTAAGTTGCGCTCTCGCGCGGGACTTCTTCGCAACTTATGCAGGAATCGCGCTCTCGCGTGGGACGTCCTCGCAATGTATTCAGGCACCGCGCCCTCGACACAGGAGTCACGCTCTCGCTGGGGATTTTCTCGCGATTTATCTGGCGCGATTCATGCAGGATTCACGCTTCAACAACCCGCCGGCCCATTGCCCCTTTCCTTTCATGCGTTCTCTCCTCGCCTGCTTGGGGGCTGCACGAAATACACGTTGCAGATTAGACAGACATGCGCCGTAAGGGGGTAGGCACGATCAAAGACGAAGAAGGCGGGTTTCGGGGGTTTGGGGATATACGTGTTGCATGGCACGCGAGCAGGTACACGCGAACAGTCTTAACATGATGATTGGTGTTGTTGTTGTTGTTGTTGTTGCTGTTGTTGGCGTTGTTAATGGTGTTGGGGTCGTTGTTGTTGCTGTTGTTGCTGTTGTTGCTGTTGTTGTTGTTGTTGTTGTTGTTGTTTGTGAGGTTGTTATTGTTGTCGTGTTGTTGTTGCTGAACTTATTTTTCTCGTCTACATATCAAGTATCATGTGTTTGCCCAGTTGCTGTTACATTTGTCAATTCAAGCGTTCCTCCCTGGGCTCGCACCCTGTTCTTTATCAGGGAAAGTCCGTGGTAACCAAGCTGCGCTCCTGGCCCCCTGTTTTAAACAACAGCGGCTCCCGCTGACATTTCCTCGTCGGAGGTGGGGGGTGAGATCGAAGTGGAACGGAGACCCCCCCTACCGGGAAATCGATTTCGGTTTCGTGTTCGTGCGTGCCGTGCGCGCGGGCGAGGCGAAGCTGCGTGGGCGGGCGAGAGGAAAGTCTCCTGTGGCCGAGGCGCGGCCGGACCAAATGTGTCTCTTCCCAGCGGCCGGTGGCGCGCGGTGTCCCGCCGGTGTCCCGCTGGTGTCCCGTCGGTGTGCTGAGGCGCGGCCGGACCAAATGTGTCTCTTCCGAGCGGCCGGTGGCGCGCGGTGTTCCGCCGGTGTCCCGCTGGTGTCCCGTCGGTGTCCCTGTGGCTGAGGCGCCGCCGGACCAAATGTGTCTCTTCCGGGCGGCTGGTGGCGCGCGGTGTCCCGCCGGTGTCCCGCTGGTGTCCCGTCGGTGTCCCGGCGGTGTCCCGATGATGATGTGGATGATTATGATGATGATGGTGATGATGATGATGGTGATGATGGCGATGATGATGATGTTGATGTTGTTGTTATCGATAGTGAGATCGATAGCGAGATCGATAGTGATATCGATACTGAGATCGAATGTGAGATCGATTGTGAGATCGATAGCGAGATCGATTGAGTGAGACGTTGGTTCCCCCTCCCCCCTCACCTCCTTATCACCCGCAGGGTGGTACTATAGGTAATGTATTTCAGATTTGCGTTATCTCGCGGGATTCCCTAATTAATGATTTACCCAAGACGTGCACGGCTCGCTCTCTCTCTATCTCTCTGTCTCTCTCTCTCTCTCTCTCTCTCCCCGACAAGAATCATACTCTCGCGTGGTACTTCCTCACATTGTATTGCGTTGCCGCGTTCCCAAGACTCACAAATCACGCTCTCGCCTTGGATGTCCTAACGATTTACTTGGGCATCGCGTTATCGTTGGAAGCTTCTTTCATGATGGGTTGACGCTTTAGCGACCCGATCGCTCGACCTGGCCGTCTGAGCCCGCCCGCCCGACCTGCCTATTAGGGCCCGCCCGCCCGACACGCCAGGCTGGTTTTGACGCTTGCGCTGCTGCTCGTGACCCTCCTGCAAGTGTTTCCCGAGTTCCAACCTTCTCCTTCCCCTCTGCCTCGTCACTCCTCGCCTCCATCCGCTGTTCTAGGGGCTGTGCCTATTACACGCGGCAGATAGGGAAACTATACCCTTAAGAGGGGTACGATCAAAGAGAAGAGGGCGGGTACTGAGGGTTTGGGATATACGTGTCGAATGGCACGCGAGCAGATAAGAGCGACCAGTATTAAGATTAGTTGTGTTGTTGTAGTTCGGGGGTCATGGGCGCAGTCTGAGGCTCAAGACTTCAAGAACGAGGTGCGAATCCCGGGAAGGGCACTTCAATTGAAAAAACACCAGGTGAACCGGAGTCGGGGATGAACTAATATTTATTTTTGCGAAATTAAAATTCAACCGCGGCTCCTGGCTGATTGGCCTTATCAAGTTTGTGCAAGATCGGGATCTTGCGCGGGATCTCGTCGCAATGTATGGAGGAATCGCGTTCTCCCCGCCTTCGACACTCATGAGTCACGGTCCCGCTCTGGACATCCTCGCGAAGTATTTGGGAATCGCGCTATCGTTCGAGGGTTCCTCGCGATTCACGCGGGACTGACGCTTGAGCCGCCTACCTGCTCGAACCCGGCCGTCTGGGCCCGCCTGCCCGTCCCGCTTGTCGGGGTCCGCCCCAGCGACCCGTCCGTCTGGTTCTGTCGCTCGTTCTCGTGTTCTCCATCCGCCTCCTGCTAATTCCTCTTGTGATCCGTCCTGCTTCATCCCTTTTTTCCCCCTCTGTTCTCCTTCCCTCCCCCTGTTCTGGAGGCTGCGCCAACTAAACCTGGCAGGTAAAGAAGATGTATCCCCAAGGGGGGTACGATCGAGAGGCTTTGGGGTATACGTGTTCAGCGGCACGCAAACAGACAAAGACGAGCCGTCTTGACACACATGTTGATTTTAACGTTGGTGGCGATGCTGATGTTGGTGGTTCTTATGAGAATGCTGGCGATGCTGCTGCTGGTGATGATGATGATGACGGTCATGATGCTGATGATGAAGATGATGAGGGTGATTATGATGATGGTGATGATGATGGTGCATTTGTTTCATGAGTGTGGTGATGACAATGACGATGCTGATGGTGATGATGGTGATGATGACGATGATGATCATGATGATGATGATCATGATGATGATGGTAAGTCATTGGGATGCTCGCGATGGTGATTATGAGTATTATGATGGTGATGATGATGATCAACCAGGTGAGGATGATGAGGATGATGATGATGACGACGACGATGATGAGGGTGATGATGATGACGATCTTGATGATGATGATGATGATGATGATGATGATGATGATGATGATGATGATTGTGGTAATGATTGTGATGACAGCGATAGTGATGGTGATGGTGATGGTGATGATGCACATCAAGATGAGCATGATTGAGGAAGAGGAAGAAGAGGAGGAGGACGAGGAGGAGGAGGAGGAGGTACACATTGTTTCGCTGATGATGTGGGTGATGCTGTTCGTTCAAGAGGGCTCTGCGCTGGGACTGCGTCGCGCGGAGGCCGCGCATACGTCCGGTTCGGCACGAGCGAGGAGGCCACCGGTTTGATCGCGGCCTTCCCACAGGTAGCCGATGACGAAGGCAACGTCAAGGCGGCTGCCAGCTTTGCTGGCGCCGAGAGCTAAGAGGGAGAAGTACAGAGAGAGGGAGAGAGAAAGAGAGAGAGAGAGAGGTGTAGAGAGAGGTGTTGAGAGAGGGATCGAGAGGAGAAAGAGAGAACGAGAGAGAGAGAGAGAGACAAACAATAACGAGAAAGAGAGAGAGACAGAGATATGAGAAAGAGAGAGAGAGAGAGAGACCGCAACATTTCGGACCAGGCCTGGTCCCGGTCCCGCAGCGGGTTAGGGCTGCGCTGTCCTGCCTCAAAGGCGGGAGGTGCCGCGATACGAACCGGGGTGTGAAGCCACCCTCGCACCTGGCGCGGTCAGCATGGCCCCGAGTGGAAAGCACAGCGGAACTGTGGTGAACAGGCCATTCAAAGGGCCCGTCTGCACACCCGAAAAAGCAGGCGCTGGCTGCAAGTGCGCGTTGGCATGCGCGCCTCGGTGCCTCAGCGAACCAAGACGCCGCTGCCAGCTGTTCCCGCAGCGCATTCAGACGATGGAACGACTAGCACTGCTGTGCTAGCATTGGGCATCGGGGCGCGCCTGGTGGCTTGCCTGGAGAGAGGCCCCAAGGTGTGCAGGCGAACGGAAGGCCTGATGAAGATCGTTTCATGCGGTCTGAGCTCTTTTGATTCTGGCAAGGCGGGGTCCTAACTGTGCCTGGGCGCTACGCTGGACGGCTGGTAGCACTCTGGCGCAGCGTTGTGATTCTGGTAAGTTAGTGAGGGACGTCCCGCGATCGAGGTCAGCATATTGACTGGCAACAACTAGTGAGGCGTTGAACGGCGCGACCCCGCTCGGTGGTCAGAGCTGAGTCATGCGGATGCCTTCGCCCTGGTGGATGGTGTGAGGCCCCGTACCCTGGTCGGACCGTGTAGCGTTAAGTCGGGCCTGTCCCTCTACAGGGGGGATCTTCAAAAATAGTAAAACTATAGTACGGGGACGTTTTTTTTTGATTTTTGTCCACTATTTGGATGTATGTTTTGACTATTTCCATTTTTCGTCCAGAATCGGCATGTAGGGGGACAGGCCCGACTTAGGGGTAGCGGCCAGATGGCAGAGCTTGGTGCGTTGAGGGCCTGGGCGTGCGGCGGCACTCGGCCGCCAGCGCGCCGGCCGCGAGCCGTCGCCAGCCCCACGCGGGCCCTCTCTTGGGTCATTGGCTCCTGGGGCGGTCTTGGTGACCACCCGCCTCCACAGGCAGCAGCGCCCTGTGCCTTCCCGGCCGCGGGGAGGGCGAGGGATTCCCCGTCATCCCTGGGAGCGGCGGCAGGGGCTGAGCTACGATCCGAGTGGTCGAGCCCCCATGTAGCCTGCGCGGTAGGCTGCCTGACGCCCGGGGCTGGGTTCTGAGGAGGAGGAGGAGGAGGAGGAGGAGGAGGAGGAGGAGGGGAGGAAGGGAGGGGAGTGGGGGAGGAGGGATGAGGAGGGGGAGGAGGAGAGGAGGAGGAGGAGGAGGAGGAGGAGGAGGAGAAGGAGGAGCAGGAGGAGGAGGAGGAGGAGGAAGAGGAGGAAGAGGAGGGGGAGGAGGGGGTCCTGGTAGGTCCCCACCTCCAGGGGCGTCTCGTGCCGCCCCGTCGCGCTCTCGACATCGTGGGGCCATGCGAGAAGGCACGAGGTGATGATGCCTCTCGAGGCGGGTGGCCACCAAGACCCCCCCCACTCGCAAGACCGCCTACCAGCAGCACGACGGGATTCAGCACCAGCAGCTTCACATACACGAGCGAGACGAACAGTGCAAAGAGCGCGTCCCTGAGCATCACGTCATGGGTCAGCACCCCAACACCGATCAGAACGACGGGATCAAGCAACACGGCGTGGCGCACCACGACGGGGCCCAGCACCAGCAGTCTCGCATCTACGAGCGAGGCGAACAGAGCAATGAGCACCACGTCCGTCGTCTGCGAATAACACCTCGACGCCGTGCAGCACCAGCGAAGCGAACACCACGACGTAGAGCGAGGAGACTGGACGGCACGGCAACGCGAGCGTGAATCAGGAGCTGCGTAATATACGCCGCACCCCGCAGATGCGGATAAGAGTGAGGGGGCGGTGGGGACGTCGGCAGTGTGCGAGACTCTGGAGAAGCCCGCCGCAGGCGCTAAAGTTTCACAAATTATACAACGAGCCCACCGCAGGCGCCGATTTTTCTTCAAACCACTGTGGATCGGTCGCGGGTGGGTCGCGGGTGGGTCGCGGGCGGGTCGCGGGGTGGGTTGCAGGTGGGTCGCAAGTGGGTCGCGGGTGGGGCGCGGGTGGGGCGCGGATGGGTCGCGGGGTGGGTCGCGGGGTGGGTCGCGGGTGGGTCGCGGGGTGGGTCGGCGGGTGGGTCGCGGGGTGGTTCGCGGCGCGGGGTGGGTCGCGGGGTGGGTCGCGGGTGGGTCGGGGGGGAACGAGACAACAAACAACAACACCAACAACAACCACAACAACAACAATCATTTTAATATTGTTTGTTTTTATTCGATCGCGTGCCACGCAACGCGTATATCCCAAACCCTCAATACCCACCCTCTTTGTCTTCGACCGTACCCCCTCGGGGGCATATTTTCCTTACCTGCCACGCACATTTAGCGCAGCCCCTAAAACAGGGGAAGGGGGGACGGATGGGAGAAGAGAAGGATGGGCCG